TAGACATGTTCGGAGACGTATTGTCTATGCGTTAATTGTTTCGTTAATTTTCTCATTTATGTTTTTCCATATATTACGAGAGTTAGTATGGTTGAACCGCTAAATGAGTTGATTAGTTGAACTACTTAACCGAGTTATTGATTGTCGTTGAATGAGTGTAAAACTGGAAATGATTTATTCCCGATTCCCTAGCTTCTTTATTATTGTCTCGTTTATATTTTTAGCTAGATTATTATTTTATGTTATTTCTTAGTTGATATTTTAGTTAATTATTATCCAATTCATCTTGATTAAAATGTTTAGGCTTTATTTTCATTTTATATGTTATCAACACCAATATTAAATTCCGAACAGTTTTCCTCGAGAGATCGACCCGGGAAACGAATCATTTAATTCGGTGCTCGGTAAAATAAAATAATTTGTACACAACAATTACCGCATCAAGTACACGGTTAAAGTACTTGCGTACGGTTCTACCTGATCTCGTAAAATCAAACTTCAAGGTGACGTTTTTCTTGTGATGTGCTAGGATTAAAAGAAACATGGCAACTTGTTCACTCGGTGCAACGTTTCTAGATTGAACAAGACCCCCTAAATTTTCAAGGAGGAAACAAAGGCGACCAAAACAGTTCCTGTCCATACGGAGGTTCTTAAGGAAGTGGTGTCGCTAACGTCGACTAGTGTTTGCATATGGCTCACTTGAAGGGGCACTCTATCCCTCAATCGGTATGTGAGTCCGCTAGTCAACGAAGGTCGACGACGGCGAGGAAGTATGAAAAGAATGCTTTCTTTGCTACAAGAGGTTTTTGGTAGATAACACAAGAGGTGCGCGCTCTATCAATTTCTAGCATTCTGTATATTTTTTTCTTTTATCTGAGAATTTGTGGTAGTAGTAACTAGCTACTATAAAAAAAAAATCGAGCACCAAGAACAATCTCTTCCAAAAGAGTGAGAATTAGTAATTTGTCGCGCACGTTATCCATCTACAAAGATTGAACAACATACGGGCAAATTTACTACACTTATACTCAATGAAAAAACAACCAAAACAGAACGTACAACACATAAAAGGCACTAAAAACATGTTATTCATTCAAATAAAAGTAGAGCATACTAATTAACCCCTTAACCTTTATTTATAACTTTCATAAGAATTTGAAGAATTATTATTATTATTTTCAAAAAATTTCAAGAAAATTTTGTTTGATGAACACTTTTTTCTGTGATGCCCTACAATTGTTGTGTGATCATGACAACCACAATTTCAAACTGTTACACCACTTTAACCTGTCTTTTATTTTTTTTTTAAAAAAAAAAAGAGCTTCAACTGAGATAGCTCTGTACACAACTTAAATTTTGAACACTTAAATAACAATATCACAATTTCCTTATTGCTACAAAAACAGCTGTGTTGGTGCCTTAACTCCATATCAGACAAAAGAACTCATGCACGGACTAAGGCGAATCTTACATTGTTTATATTAGTTTTTCCAGTACTTATGCAATAGGAAGCAGAATATTGTATTTGGAATCTGCTGTGGATATCAAGAGACATTTTTTTGAACTATACCTTATATTCACCTAACAACACACATTTGTGACTTACCAAGATTATATTTCATTAGACGAATCTTACATTGTTCCTACGGTATGTAAAAACATTCCAGAAATCGTACGCATACCACTGATAACATTGACTAGCACAAAACATTAACAGCTTATTACCATTTTTGAGACACAGCAATATAAGATGCTTTAATAATATATTAGAAGTAAACTGCATGAGTTTAGGTTCATGATACGGACAAAACAAGGACAGAGAATATCGTTCTCAGTTCATATTAAATGCTACTTCGAAAGATAGCTACAGTGCAGTAACAACTCATCACTTGGCACCTTCATGAAAATCCAATAATTATTAAAGTGCTTTCAGTTATTATAGTTTTCCTAGTTCTATAATTTAACACGCTAATGAAGCATAAGGAACAAATGCAACCATCTGGAATGATGATCCTAAGGAAGTAATGAGGAAGTCATAAGAATCTGCTACTTAATATCATGTAGAAATAATAGTTCTCTACTTACAGCAAGATCGCTGTTCAAAACATCGTTATTTAATAAAATCGTAATTAAAGCCAACATTTCTGATAATACGAGATGACTAATGGAGTGTTAGTCCGGAATGATAATCGGAAGAAGAGCACTGTTCATGTAAGCAATGATAATCGAAAGAAGAACACATAAATGTACTCATCAGTAAACGCAAACAAGGAACAATGAAATACTATAAAACTCAGCCTGACTATGATGCATCTTCATTCACAGCCACCACAAAAGAACACTTATTCAAACAAACATTATTCCAGAAAGCACTAAATTCGAATTACCATTCATTGAACCAATTAACCGGCACAAACTGAAGAAGTATGCATATATGAGGAAGAGAAAAATTAAAATATGATCTTTTTGGAAAAAATGTAACCTACACTCGGCAAAAAGATGTATGTATAATTAAGGAATGAATAGGTGTTTACCTCAACCGGTACCTGGGAAGAGCTCATAGTTATGCCCGACGGAGATGGCGTTTTGTATAAGACCAACAAAAATTGCGATAAATACACACAAAAAAAAAAATATTAAGTAAACAAATAAAGTTGTAATTGAGGAGAGATTGACGGAGAAGACGAAGCACGCCGACGAATGTACAGCGAAATCAACATAAATTGAAATGAAGAAGACAAAAATGGCGAATTGGAGCTCACCTTATAGCCCGACGGAGACAACGAAGCAACAAAGTTTGGCCTGCGCGAAAACTAGGGTTCATAAGACGAAGAACGCCCACGAATCGAAGGCAAAATCAAAATAAATTGAAATCGGAAAGAAAAAAATGGCAAACTGGAACTCACCTTCTAGCCCGATGGAGACGAAGAAGCTTCACAACAATGGTTTGCCCGCACACAGAAACTAGGGTTCATCGAGGCTAAGTGATTTCAACATGGCTTGCACTTGTAAAATTCAGCAAATTAAGGGGTGTATTGGCCATTTTACAGCGAAATCTGAAGGCAAAATAGGTATGATGAGCGTGGGATTATTATATCACAGGGGGGGAGGGACTAAATTAATCGGCAAATGGAGGACTGGCAGAATTTCGTATCCTTCACATGGGCGCCACGTCAGGTATATCCAATCCCATTCCCTTGAAGTAAACGTGAGAAATCCCAGGACTAATTTGCTTATCTTATCCACGTCAGGTGTATCAGACACTATTCTTGTAGACTGTGACTTTCCCAGCCCATTTAGCCCTACTTTATATACAAGTTAGGGGTCCGACCTTAACTCCCCACCCTCCTTTTGGGGTGTTGTTCTG